AATAATTTTGCAAACTTTTGCAATAATAAATTATAATAATTGTACTATTTATTATTATAAAAATGTAATAAGATTTATTCTTTACAAAACAAATAAATTATCTCGAGTCATTACTCAATCATATATTATATCATCAAATCAAGATTTTTTCTAGCATTAATTTTTTAAAATTACATTCGTCTGAACAAAAATATTAAATGGTATTTGAATATTTATATTATGTAATATACTAACATAGTATAAAAAAAAATATCTGGAAAATTTAGAACAGATTGCTCACATGAAAAATATATTTTTATAACTTTATACGAGAACGCACTTTCGATTTCATAGTAAACCTACTACGTAGCTATCGATTTTCCGCGTCCAATCAGCATGAGTAGCCAAACTCAGAGCGATAATGTCAATCCTATTTCGTCGAGCCTGTCGCAAAGTTATCCTATATAAACTTCCGCTAGTTTGGGCCACGCGTATCCGATGCATTTTCAATCTCGTAGAACCTTCGAACTTTTGCCGTAGATTAAATTGGAAAAAATAAGAACGATCGCGAAACTAGGAAAACGTATTTCGTAACGTTTCGTTTCGCTTTAATGCAATTCCTACAAGTGATAAACCAACAAGTGATAATTTTATGAAGATCATCGCACGAGCTTTTTCGCAACTATCTTTGTCTAGCCAGCAATTTTACGAGGCGTAAAGATCGCGTTTATTAGGCATGTTTTCACAATCTGTGATATTGCATAGAGCACCTCAAATAGCTGTAATAGTCACCAAGACGAATCACAAAATACCGATGATGACGATGCCATACGACTATCCGGCGAAGCGTCGATAATTCGGGCCTGCCTACTAACGTCTCTAATTTCCTTGATATTCGCATCGAAGGGTCCTTCCGCTCGAGGAGCTTAAGGATGCCAGAAATACCTTCGCGAGAAGGTATAAACGCCTTGCAAGGGTAGGCCTGCCAGGACTTGTATTAATTTCATATCCCTTCCGCCGTCTGACGCCGGGACTGCGTTCAATCATCTATTTATTGCCGGTCGTGTCCAATCCGGTAACGCTTCATATCTATCTCTCTCTCTCTCTTTCTCTTTTCGAGATATCGCCTAGATGTGAGGGAGTGGCGACTGGTCATTAATTTCCACTAGCACCCCGCTAAGGATTCCTAATGGAAAACACATCACAGATCTCACCTGTAGAATGACCAAATTACGAAGCGACTGTATCGAAATTTGATAAACGCGTCTCGATATTATTATTTTAATAATGCACTTATAACTTATTCAACGATAACCGCTTTAATAAATTGATTATATGATATTAATAAAAATCAAAATTGCATTACTGAAATGAATTAAACAAGAAAAAACTGTTATTAATAAAGCTGTTGTCATTAGGAGTATATTAAATTTATATTTTAAAGTTGAGCAGGGATACATTTCTTGACGATTTCTAATGAAATACTTTAACTAAATTTAAGTTGAATCAACACAGAGAGTTGTTTTCATGGAAAATGAAATCGTAGCATCGAGTAATTTTAAAAATTAAATAATTCCTGATATCGTCAAATCAAAAAATATTTCATTGAAATCAATTCAATTAATAACTGTGAATTAAGAAGCAACATTTGTATGACCGACGATACGTAAGCGCAATCAAACGAAAATTCGCGATCGAGACAGACTACTAATGTGCAAGCGGGTTCACAAACGGTCCCTACGGAGCTTTGCGTGTCCGGCGGCATGGTAAACGTAGAAATCCCGAAACGGAAATCTCGGAAAGCGTAGCAGAGAATTGGGACAACGCGCCCTTCGAAGTATCACCGAAGCTCACCGGCGCGAGTTGCTCGGCGCGAAGTTAGACGCGCCCTATTAGCGAAAACGAGCCGGTTCCTTGCTTCTAACTGCGAATGCGCCGCACAGTGAACACCGTAAAGGAATTTGCGGTCCGAGTTGCTACGCTTTCCGAGATCTGCAGCGACCTTTCACCCTACACCTTGGGCCCCTTGCCCATCCTCCTCGCCCTCGCGCCACCCCCCCCCTCCCCCATCCCGACGGTTTGCTTCAGCCCCGATCATCCGTAGCTCCCAGTCACCCCAAGGCTAGTTTCTCCCTGAAACCCTTAAGCCCAACTATCCGCAGAAGTTGGAATCTGTAGGTACCCCCTACGCCGCGACGAAGCTACAAACTCGCCCCTTTTCGCAGCGAGCTATATCGTCGTTCGATATAACGGCGGTCGAAGATTTCGCGACGTGTATGTATATTAGTTCTGTTGACCTCGATGATCAAGTGTGAAACATTATATTATAAAAGAAGAGAAAACATACGAGATTTCGGCAATAAAGATTTCAATATAATATTTATTGTGCACACATTATAACATAATCAAAGAAATTTTGTGAAAACCGGTTCTATTATGTATCAAAATGAAAAACGACTGATTACTTTTTAGAAATAATTACATAGTAAATTTCGAAATCTTAAACTTTAGAATTTATCTTGCGTATTTAATTTTAACCTAGTATTTTTATAAAATTTATTGCGACGTTATTTTCTTTTCGTAAATGAATAATAACGTGAATTTCTCAAAGAAAATTTGTAAACATAAAACTATTTCTTTTATAATCTATTTTTCTAAATCTATTTATTTATTTATAGTAATTATCGAGCAATTCTTATCTGTAGAAATCACTTAAAAATATTCAATAAATTTATAACCGTCAAGAAAGTCGGAAACATAATAAAAAAACTTGTTTCATTATATCTTCCACACAGATTTTTTATTGTGATTCCGGTTTTGATCCTAGTTCTCTTTTGAAACCGGTTAGCTTACCAGCAGCTGGATCATTTAATCTGTGCAAGCAACTACTTTTAGATTTGTCCGGAAACGTAACGGCGGAAATAATAACAATAAAGTAGTTTGAAAAGTAGCTAAGAAGAGTAGCTAAATTCAAAAGACAAGTTTCACGGTATAATATTAAATCTGTGCGAGATTGTCGCTGGGCAAGATTCGCAAATCGAGATTGAATCATTGAGAAGGATGAGGAAGACTGAAAGCGAGAACAACGATGAGAGAGAAAGATAGAGAGAGAGAGAGAGAGAGAGAGAGAGAGAGAGAGACTCCACTACCAA